TAATAATATAAATGTGATACAAATAATAATATAAATAATAGTACAAATAATAATATAATACGAAATGTAAATAAGAAAATCTTAACTAATTAAATATAAACATGTATTCTCAAAATTATCCAATAAGATTAAATGATTATTTTGACTAATAATTAATGTGAAATTCCATTATACAACAATACTAATAATAATGATAATATATTTTAATTTGTAATAATAATCCTATAGTAATCTGGTTGAATATCCAGTAATATATAGTAAAGATAAGTATTATAATAATATTAATTATAAAATTAATTAATATATAATTTTATTAAATAATAAATAAGAAGCAGTTTATTAACTAGCTAAATTTTGTATTAATTAATTGATATCTTTTGATTTATTCAAAAGATCCTTTATTTATATAAATAATTAATGATAAAAATATTATAATATAAAATATATTATACATATTAGATAATTATACTATAGTAAATAATGTTGACATATCTAAAAACTTTGCTATCTTTGCTATTTTTACAATCTATATTCAATTACATAATCAAAATTAAGAAATTAGTAATAATTCTGAATCATAATAATATAAAACAAGATTATTAATTAGAATATAATTAATTTTTGTATAATTAGAAAAGAATTAATAATTTTATAATAATAACATAAAAATTATTATATCATATATTATATCATAATTATGTTATACTGTGTCATGCTACATATTACTATACTATATTATACCATTATCACATAAAAATATATATAATCAAATTTCTTTATAATCATGCTCATTTATAATTACATTTTTTTTATAGTTATTAAATTTTGCTTTTCCAAGGGTGATAATTATAAAGAAATTTGACTATATAAATACAAATATCAATAATTAATAAAATTCAAGTTCTTCAAGTTTAATTTAAGTTTTCCAAATTCAATCTAAGTTCTCTGATTCTTATTTGAAGTTCTCTCAGTTTAATTTTAAGTTCTCAAAGTTTGAGTTTAAGTTTTTTTAAATTAATTTAACTTTCTTGATTTATTTTAAGTTTACTTAATTTAATTATATTAGTTTAATTTATTTTTGAAGCTAAGTTTTCTTTTAGTTTATTCTTGTCTTAATTTAATTTTATTATTTTATCTTATTATAAATATTATTCAATTATAATTTAAAGTAAATTATTATAAATACAGTTATTATTGTCATTAAAATACTTTTATATATAAAAGCTCAAAATAATAATAATATTAACTATTTTATACTAATTTATAATTCTAATTCTAATTTATAACTTTATTTAAAATATTTACTTGTACTTGAACTGAACTTTTGATTAGATTCAAATTTAATTTGAAGTTTGAACTGAATTCGAATTAGATTTTTAATTGAATTCAAATTTTTGAATCAGATTTTTGATCAGATTCAAGTCTGATTCAAGCTTGAACTAAACTAAAATAAACTTTTTTCAAAATCCTATCATACATTAAAAAAGTCATAAATAATAAATAATAATAACAAATAATAATAAAATTCTTTATTAGCAATAATTAAACTAAAGTAACAAATTTAAAAAACATAAAAAAATATAAATTAGATATAATTATTTTCAAAAAAAATTTTTAAAAAAAACAATAAGAAGTTAAAAATAATAGATAATTATAATAAAAAAAAAAAATCTCTTATTAACTATAACTAATAAAAAGTGACAAGTATTAGAATAACAAAAAACTTTTTTAATCAGAATTAGATTAATAAAATCATAAAATGCTAATAAAAATAATACTAAAACAAAATTGACATTAAAATGCTAGAAAAAAATTTAAAATAGCAAATAATATTAACAAAAAAAATCCAAAATCATAATGCAAAGTAAAGACAAGAATATAAAAAAAACTAATAATAATGAATTACCAAATCATAATTATTATACTAATATTATTGATCAGTATAAAATAAACCTCCCGATTGGACTAACTGGTGTAATAAATTTGTAGATTGTATGAGTGTGATATAAAATCAATTTCTTAATTAATTAGTATTTATTTTGTTAAGTATTATTATTACTTTCTCTATATAATTAGTATTTACAATATTATTAATCAATTGCAATCATACAAAATTAAAACAATTCATATAAGTGATTTCCATTATTAATTGATTGATTGCACACCAGATTTTCTAAATCAACAAATAAAAATGCAAAACAAATTCAGCACAAGAAAAATCAAAAAGATGAATAATGTGAAAAATACGGAAAATGAATGGATAAATCTGGCTTGAAGCACTAATAAAAAATTTTAGGAAGACAATTTTATATATAATCTTTGCTCCAGCTCTAACCCTAATCCTAATCCTAACCCTAATCCTAATCCTAATCCTAATTCTAATCCTAACGATAAAATTAATCTTTAATATTTTTAACTGATCAGAAACCTGGAGAAAAATTAGTAAATGCCTGGCACCATAGTAATAGCTTTTTTGAATTCTTATTTCGTAAATTTTATTATATAAAACATATAATAATGATTCAATCTTTATAAAATTTAAAATATATTTTATTTATTTTGTAATTGGATATATCAAACTGTTTTTCAAATATGATCGTCAAAGTTACATGTTAAATCCGTAAATTGAATTTGAAGTGCTCGCGTTCTTACGATAAATCAATCTCCAACTTCAACAAAACAAAGGACTAATTTACCATAAAATAAATGTCTTCGTACCCGCTACGTAATGTTTCTTCGCATGTCGGTGCAATTGCTGGCCCTTCAAGCGGCGCAAAAAGAAGAAACGTACCGGAATCACCACCAATAATTCAGCAAATTAGGTTGGTTACTTAAAGACAAAAGATTTTAAGCCCACCCCTTTTTTTGGATGAAATAAATTATTTTAAAAATATGTAGAAAAAGACGACCTGCTATTAATGATCGGACCCTCCCAACACAGGTAAAAATATAGCGAATTATGTTTTGCGCACGAAGCAAATGATCTTATGAAAAAACGAATTAACCTTTTATATAATAAAGATAGAAGGGCTTGTACCAGAATCTCGATTATATACAGAACTGCAAAACTTTGAAAAGAGGTTAGATGCAACCATCATGAGAAAACGACTAGAAAATCAAGAAGCAATTGCTACAAAGCACATGAAGGTACAATACATAATTCAGCTTTATCAGTATCAAGTTTTTATAATATTAAGTCTTGGTAACTACTGTCTAGTCTAAGCGAATTCTCCGAGTATTCGTGTCAAACACTGCAACGAATCAGAATATTCAAGACGAAGAAGAGCCAGAACTTGACTTCCAGGCTGGAAGCATTCCATCTTGGACTCTAAGAATCGAAGGAAGATTGTTGGACGTGAGTACTTTTTTATATATAGTTTTCTTAATAATTACGCTTGAATTATAGTTTGTTATTTCAGCCTCCATATTCGGCAGCAAGAGGTCGAACAGCCAAAAAATTCTCTACGTTCTTTAAATCAATTATTGTTGAACTAGATCGAAACCCCGATCTGTATCCTGAAGGAAATACAATGGAGGTGAGTTACAATGACCCGAATCATTAATATAAGACGAATTATTGATATGAGACTTTATGGAAAATAGTGGACACGAAATACATCAACCCAAGAATGCGATGGTTTTGAAATAAAGCGTAAAGGAGATCAAAACATCAAGGCTAAAATACTTCTTACTTTGGAAAATCGACCTGAAAGATATAAGTTAACTCCAGCATTTGCAAGTTTATTGGATATACGAGAAGAAACAAAGTCAGGGATAATTAGAGCTATGTGGCAGTACGTTAAGGTACTAGTTAACGTGGAAATAGATATTCGGGCTATTTAGGTATAAGTAGTCAACTATTAACTTTTCTTCTCTTTTCAGATTAACAAATTACAAGATCCGGATAATCAGAGAATCATTAATTGTGATAAACATCTTGAAGCGGTGAGAAATATATTACTTTGATCAGGTTTTTCATTCAATTGAATTAATTATTATATATATTGTTTAAAAATAAAGATATTTAATAAGGATAGAATAGCTTTTCCAGAACTTCCCGAATTATTAAATCCATTATTGGATCCTGTTGATCCTATTGAAATTGAGTACACAATTAGGTAATCGAAACCATACATGTACACGCTTTTACTATTGCGTGTTTTTACCATTAAATCAGGAAAAGAAGTTTCAATATTTATGTTAATTTCACTAAAACTTTTTACATTAAAGAGTCGACAAAAGTTTCCATACTTCAAGATTTGCGTATGATGTTGAGGTAGAAGTGGACGATATTCTAAGACAAAGAATGATTAACGCGATTGAGAATACCAATCATCATAGAGAAATACAAGAATTGGATGAAAAGGTATATCCTAATTTATCAACATCCTTCTTAATTTATAGATAATAAATTTTTTTGATTACAATATAGATCATGCAATGTGTGCAGAGTATAAATAACTCCAAAACAAAGCGTGATTTCATGATGAAATTTGCTCGATCACCGGCTGAATTTATTCAAAAGTGGATTGCTAGCCAAAGCCGAGATTTGGAGGTATTTTTTTCGGAAATTGTTGTCCTTTTCAAGTTTAGTTATCTGAAGTTTCATGATTTATTTAGATTATATTGGGTGAGACTCGAGCAAATCTCGAAGAACAACGTCAGGCAGATTTCTTTAAGCAACCTTGGACACATGATGCTGCCTTTCATTATATGGCTTCAATGGTATATTAGTACATAATAGAATAATTTCATTCCACATGTGCATATTAACTTATATAATTTAAATTTTATAGACTCAGCGAAAAATGCACGAATTATTAGGAAGAGGTGCATCCGGCAATAACGCTGGTGGTAATTGAAGCGATTATTTGTTTGAGTTGTTATTTTTATTTTTGAGCTTGAGAAAATGTCATGTCAAATATCGTTGGATTATTAATTAATTAAACAATAATTCGTAGAATTTTTTTAGCAAAAATCTATTTATTTATTAATTTTTTGTAAATATAATAATAAAGGTTAAATTTCTAATCGAGTGGTTAATTTAATGCACATCTGTGCCAGGTTGGAAAATTCTACTGTAATATTAATTAACATTAGAAGGTTGGTTTTTAAATTGCCTCTGACGTTTTTAATTAGTAGTTTTAGGCACCTGTTTCGCATTTCTTGCCGGTCTGATCAAAAATTTTTGCATTCTTATTGGCTGCTGGTCTATGATCGACAAAACCTGGCACAAGATTTCTGATGTGCTAATTTTCCTAGTTCTCATTGTTCATTTATCATCTATTATTGTCATGGAAGATCAATCGGAAAAATCAACTCTTACCACAACACCTATTGGAATACCACAAACACGGATAAAACAGCACTTCTCTTCCTCACATGAACTTACCAATACCCAGCAGCCGACTCACGCGACGACCATATCACCTAGCACTAATAGCTCTTCTTCATCAGAGATAATATATCCGGATCGCGAATTCACACTAATGGGCTCCGAAAATGGAGACTCTTCGTTCTATCAACAACTATCTATTAATGTGGACCAGCCTGTGGGAAACATGTCTATCTCGCCCTCCTATCGAGATGTAGTTCTTGCCGCGTATGTTATCGTAAAAGATCTACTTACATAACATGAAATTTCAGAAAAATTAGCTATTCTTTTTTTATAACGTTATAAGATAATGGGCTTTTTGATGAACTATGTTTGATATTTCTTTAGGAGAAAAGGTCTATTCATAATTGATCTTGAGAACCCTTTTGATCCTCCACGCGTTCTCAATCATTTAACAAAATGGGAAGTTGCTGATGTACAATGGAATCCGCATCAGGCTCGAGACACGTGGGTTGCTTCCACTGTACGCACAATTATTTGTCTGTCGATTTTGTAATAGACTAATCGATTTCCAAGATTTTTCTTTGCATATGTGATAATTTTGATTCGTACAACACACATTGCATACACGTATATCCTTTCATCATCATTATCGGCGACTCCAAATAGTCGAATCAAAAAGCCCTCATATGGGACTTGGATTACTCGTCACCGAGCGCTGTCAAACTCATACTACATAGCCATACACGCGCGATCAGTGACATAAATTGGCATCCATTTAATCCTGATGAATTAGCCACTTGTTCCGTGGATACTTTTGTTCATTTGTGGGATTTACGTACACCAAAGAAACCTGTAATTTCTTTTTGCGCTTGGACTGGTATGGTTTTTTGTTATTTGAATTTTGATTTTACAAAAAAATATTCATTGATCTTTTGAAATTTATTTTTTTATATTTAAGCTGGTGCAACTCAAGTAAAATTTAATAAGCAAAATGAATTTTTGCTGGCTTCTTCGCATGATACAGATCTGAAAATATGGGATATTCGGGTATATTTAGATAGCTATCTTCATCCTTTATCAATTATAATCATAATTTTTTAAAAAAATATTTAACTTATTAAAATAAGCGCGGATCTCTTGCTATAAAAAGTATCAAAGCACATACAACTAAAATTTACGGTATCGATTGGAGCAGAAAGAATGATACCGATATAATAACGTGTAGTTTAGATAAGCTTGTTAAGGTTCGATAATGTTTCCTGACATTCTTTAAAAATAAGTGTCAATTTTACCTTCATAATTTGATTTACTAAAGGTTTGGAATATTAATGAACCCGATAAATGTCAACTGGTTATTGAAACAAATTCACCTGTTTGGCGTGCAAGACATACAGTAATTATCATGTCTTATAGTTTACTCGTCAATTTGATCTTCAATTAATTTAATTTTATAACTACGAACTATTGATTACAGCCAGTTGGTTATGGCATATTGACGATGCCACAGCGATCAGAGAACACGCTCCATCTTTGGAACCGCGAGAAACCCGAGTCACCTGTGCATGAATTCAAAGGTCATACTGATGTAGTTAAAGAATTTGTATGGAGAACTAAAGGTGGAGGTGATCCCGAAATTGGTAACTATCATTTTTTCCAAACAGACACAGATTTAAATATTATAGAATTCTCGTAATTTATAAGAAAAATATATTCATTATGACAGATAATCGCGAATTCCAGTTAATCACATGGTCAAAAGATCAAACCTTGCGATTATGGCCAATAAGTGATGCTCAATTAAAGGTACTAACTGAGTGTCTAGTAAATAAAATTCTTGCGCTATTCTTGAAACTTGACTTTGTTATAATTAAACAATAATAAAGTCAATAGGACATGTAAGAGGCAAAGCTAGATTACCCTCAAAACATCGATCAAACACCGATTATTCCAAATTCACCTTCCGTGATCCGCCACGAGCAGATCCACATTCCACTTCTCCAACATTAACTCCATCAGCTGCCGTTTCCACATTACGTGTCATCGCTGGCAATCGAATTATTCCAACGGCACCAATGCGTCCATCAGGAGCTTCTGTTGGAAGTGCAACAAACATTACAAATTACATGAATTCTCCGGCTAGTGTTTATCCTGGACGTCGTTCATTATCACCCGTTTTATGGATGCAGGGAGTGAAAATGGTAAAACCTAGTGGTAAAATTGATGAGGATACTCCAAAGGAGTTTGTACAAGAAATTACATCGGTTATGAATAAATATAAAGATGTGAAATTCGAAAAGGTAAATTGTCAATTAGTTATTGGCTAATCAAAATAACCTTTGATTATTATTATTTAATATTTGATTGTTGCAATTAGATAGTTCCTACAAATCGAACTTGTACAATCAGTCTTCGTACGCATGGTCCTTGGTCTGATAGTGGTGTTGCTTTTCTGCGAATAATCATAACCTTCCCTCCACAATATCCTGATAACACTCCACCGAAATTCGATATTCAAAAAACTGGAATGATTTCTATAATGAATAGAACTCGTATTTCACAGATCTTGGATGAAATAGCTTTGCAGCACGTATTAGAAAAACGTCCGTGTCTCGAAGCTTGTATTCGTTGTCTTCTCGGTAAGAATTCACACGAGGACGGACTAGGTCGATACGAAAGAGACGATTCAGACGAAGAGAGTTTGATGAACTCTTCGAGAAGAACATCGTATGATAAAAACTATATATTTCTTGGTGATAAAGATGATCATAATGTCCTGTTCCCTATTTTGTGCGGGGCAAGATTTTCAGGAAATGGTAATTCGTTTGATTATATAGCTAATAATAAATTTTGCTAAAATTGATAAAGGTGAAATCTCTTAATTTTAAATTTTAGGTCGACTTCTATGTTTCTTCTCTTGCTTACGCGCACCTGATGTCAATCATACAACAGCACCAACTACACCAGTCAGATCAACTGCCTCTGCTTCCATCCGTGTACTGCCAGCATATACTTACACTCATCCGCGGTCTTATGAATCATTTGAACAGTACCGTGCAATCTCAAGACTTCCGCAACAGATTGTACGATTTAGAGGGGATGGTGATAACTTCTCATTGGATAATCAAGATGACGAAGATGATGATATAACACCATTTTTATATTTTAAGCCAAAGGTACGACAATTTCTATCCCTTTATATATAATGTGTGGTGGTCCATTATTGCACTTCTATTAATCATAATAAATTCAATTGTCAGGGAGGTCTACGTGAGAGTGCAACAGATCCGTCAAATCTTTTTCAACCAACAAAACTAGATCGAACTGGGTTCATAATCTATATTCACGATTTATCCGAATGGCTGCCAGTTAGCCAAAAATTGGCATTGGAATATACGTGAGTACTAATATTTACTATTTTCCGAGTATAATTGATTAGTCAGAGAAGAAGCAACTCGTTACACAGAAATTCTTTATTTATTAGCTTATATGGGGATGATCCAGTAGAAATATGTAAATATAACGCTAAAGTAGCCGCAAATAATAAGCGTCCTGAATTAGAGGAAGTATGGCTACTGGTATCTTATATTCTCGCGGAAGATGATCCTTCAGAAATCTATAATTGTCATGATAGTGGTCATCACCACCACCACCATCATCATCATTTTTATTATGAAAATTTACCGATGACGACAATGCAAAACAAAAATTACAGAAAAAGAACAATCAGTGGGTCTGATCTAGATGATGGGCTACCGATTTTACATAGAGTGAAATGGGGAATGCATCCATGTGGCGCAAGTCTTGTTCGAACATTGTATGGTTTTTTTCATGTTTCGAAATTTTTTTCAAATAGTTTGTGTTTATCTTAGATTACTTTCTATAGGTTTCGGCATTTTTCATCAATAGGAGATGTCCAAACATTGGCATTACTATCGTGTGTTTTACAAGAACCTTCTCCTTATGATCGTAAATTTAAATGGATTACAACTGATTATTATAAACCTGATTATAATAAACCTATGGTAAATCTGTATTTCAAGTAATAATTCGCACTCTTAATAAATGAATAATTGACAGATAATTTTCAAATAACTATTAGATGATGACACCAGATTCATTGGGAGGGGCGACTTCAGTTGGCACCGACTACTTTAATTATTATTCCCGATATCCGGAAAAATCTGTTCAAAATCAATTCTTGACTTTCACACCAACGCATTTCGATATCTACAATTTATCCAAAGAATCATTATCCTCACTTAATTATCACCAACACCAATCGCCAGACAATAGTGGTATTTCCGTAAATTCTCCTACGCCGCCTACTCCTAACTTATGGCGTGAAGATTCATTACCAATTACAATGCCAGTCCCAGTAAATTCTTTTCATCAATCCAATTATTATCATCAGCAGCAACAGCATCATCGAAAATCGACTTTTTCCGTATCTCATCGCGATGTGGGTTTCCTCCCGTCAAGTGGAAGTACAAATGCCTCACCTCCGCGCATATCAAAAAGAGGTAGTCTTGCCGGTAGTGTAATGTTTTCCAATAAATTGGATCAGATTGGATGGGTTGATGTGGATCGAAAGAAGTCTAGCGAACTTGGTGTATCGATAATGAATAACTTTAATGAATTTGATGATGAAAGAAGGTCTAATTTGTTTTCGTTTTTGAACTTCATACAGTCAACTCTGGTTACATTGACGTGACCGGGGACACAACTTTGATGTTATTGTTATTCTATCCAATACGGTAACACTACATATAGATATTATTAGAGAAATTTTGTTCCAGGCTGACAATATTCAGTATCTAAATGTTATTGTAAAAAGTGTAGCAGAGTTGACTGTATTTTGAATTTTTATAGAATCTAATTGTTAATTTTTATTTTTCCGATAGTAGTTCACTACATGTACCTCTACTAGGTTCCGATCGAAAATCTATGGTAACATATGATCAATATAGACTCGCTTACGCAGAGTTACTATACCACTGGGGTTTAATGGAAGCTCGTGCTGAACTTCTCAAATTTATGAATTTTGTGAAATTTGATTTTGAACAACAGAAGAAAACATTGGGTAGGTTAATATTCCAATCTTACGCACTTTTAAATCACACGTTATACTATACTAACAATGTATCTATAACAACAATACAATAAATGCAGAAATTTATATACATTGTCATCACTGCGGTACTGAACTTAAACCAAACACGCAATGTGCTAATTGCCAACGGAAACCATCAGGAATTAAATGTTCAATTTGTCATCGGATTGTTAAAGGTTTGAAAAATTAAAACAAAATTTTCCTTATAATTACATAGAATTTCAATAATTTATTTTTTTTGTTTAGGTTTGACAAATTGCTGTGTAGTATGTTCTCACGGTGGTCACATAAAACACCTCCTTGAATGGTTTTCGGAAGGGCATAAAGAATGTCCAACTGGATGTGGTTGTATGTGTTTGTTGGAAATGGGCGGATTTGGTGTTGACAACAACGCAAATAAAGATCATTCAGATGAAAAAGTAAATTAAACTAGTCATAATAAATATTTCGATTTACATAAATCTATGCATGTATATTATTTGTTTTTTATTTATTTTAAAATATCCTTTTTTGTAAATAATAATAACAATTATAGTCTATTTCGTATTTGTTTCATATTGTGACTCGCATAATTTAGTTGGAGCGAAAAACACGTAAAAAACGATACAAAATTACATTTACTTCTTCACAAACTAAATTCACGATGTTTCCATAGGGTCGAAAGGCAAATCACTAGCGGAAAGTTTCCGTCTTAATTCTTCTTTGGATTGCACACGCGATTGATAACGTGCAGCTTTCTCGGCTCTTATATTACGTCGAATCTTTTAAGATAAAAATTCGAAAAATTATTCTCTGAGAATCCATTGTTAAAGAAGGAAAAATGTACAAACCTGAGTGGGTGTTATAAATTCTGGGTTAGCAAAAATAGTCGCGCCGTTGAAACTTCCTTCGAATATTCGAATCACATTCAACACAAAGCGTGGACCAATCTCAACAAGAGTAATGTCCTTTTGCTTTTTATCGAATTCTGTTGGATCTTTTTCAACAACCTAATAAATTTATTTTTAATTATTAATAAAAGTAAAGGTTTCAATCGAAATTTTTGATAAAAAACCTGATAATTTCGGAACCATATCCGATCATCTGCTATCGAGAATGAAATTACGTGATCGATGAAAGGTTTTGCTCGACGAGCTCCTCTTGGCACACCAAATATCTATTTCATAATAGCATTCACGAATTAGAGAAATTCACAATATATTTTTTTTTAAAAAAAAAACTATTTACATGTGTGAATACTTGTTTTATAAGAGAAAAATGTGGCTGCGTGTCAAATGTCTTGTCAAAAGAGATGATTGGTCTTGATCCTTTCAAGCAATTACCAGTCATTTTCAATTCATCCATCGTATGTACTATAAAAAATTAACCATAGCGAATAACTACACATTGGTCTTAATCTAATCAAAGCATCAGGTATAATATGAATGTAGACCTACTATTTTGCACGTGAAATTTGATGCTTGGACCATTTGGTGTTTTACTGGCCCAAAGATATAAATCCTGCTTCCGTCGCACTTCAAAGAAAATACAATTATTACAATTATTCAGTTCGGCAAGTTCATTGAGAATGCTAAATTGGGATTTTTGATCGAGTTTTGCATCTTATTAAAATAATAAAATTGTAAGATCAGACCGGATCAAATCAAAATTCATTATATTAATTATACGAAAATTATTATTATACCCTTTTTAAAGTGTGGTGATAGAGCTCCCAAATCATTCAGCAAATGTCTTTGTCTATAATGATCCATCTATTAGATATGCTAATTTTAAATATATTTCCCTTATATGAAAAAAAATACCGATAATTTATTCCACGGGAAGATATTGCCAGTACACGCTGTTTATTTCTTTTCGTTTTCCGTTCCTCGGAACTTTTTTCTTTATGTGCCCCACTAGATAATGGGTCAGTACCCTCTTTTTGTGCTTTTGCAAGTTTAAATACCGTAGCCATTTTATGAGAAAATATACACGAATTCTTTTGTCAAAAATTATTTATCGTGCAACCAATCAAAATCAAAATCACATCTTAAAATTTTCTTTCGAGTAGAAATTCAATTATCTTTCCACTATGGACGTTTCTGCACAACTTGAAACGCAGTCTTCGAAATAGTAAGTCTAGCTAGCCACTAACTCTTCTCCTCTGAAACCAATTATTTTATTACTTAAATTTATGAACTGTATATTTTAGTAAACCAATAACGGTCGAAAAACCAATATCCTTAGAATTCGATCTCGGCTTACTTGCCGGCTATGATACAAATACATTGGACGATCAAAAATTAAAGTAAAGAGAATCACATTTTCGTATTTATGATTGATTCATAGTATTGATTATCTATATTCATTAACTTGAACGGTTGTTTACCAAAATTTCATAATAAAGATCAAAGAATATAGATGAATATTTAAAAGAATACACGCGTGATGGTGCACAATTATTAATAAATGAACTTTTCAAGTTACCGGTATCGGTGGAAGATGCTGGCGTTTTTGCTCAATTACCAGATGTGACAACTGTATTGCCAAGAGAAAAACCTGTAAGCTCAATCACACCTGCTATTAACATCCTGCTGCTTATGATTGCTATAATCTTATTGTCTAATTATTAAGAAGTCTTAATTATGAAGTTTTTATTTTATGCTTGTGTGATTATTGCGTTTTGAATATTCAATCTTTGACCGATAAAACAACAACAAAAATCAGATCCCAAAAGCGAAACCACTCACCAGATGGGAGAAATTCGCAAAAGTTAAAGGTATTCAAAAACGGAAAAAGGACAAGCTGATATATGATGATGAGAAAGGCGAGTGGGTACCACGATGGGGATATAAAGGTTCCAATGATGACGGCGCGAATGATTGGTTGATACCTGTTTCTAATAATGACGGTATGTATTTCTTATTAGTTTATTTTATCATTCGAAATTTCGTTAATTGAATTTCTCGATTTTTTTGATTAGATCCATATGAAGATTTATTTGCTAAAAGACGCGAAGGCAAAAAACAACGGATTGAAAAGAACAATTCACGGCATCAACGAAATCTCGAAGAAGCTGCAACACAGCAAAATAAAAACACCACTACTAATCCTAGAATTGTCGCCACGCCAAATCAAAGATCGGTAAGGAAAGCAGAATTGAATAAACAGGTTGCTATTTCAAAGCTTGCAACGGCAAGTATTGGAAAATTCGATAAACCATTAGAAGGAGAACCAAAAATGAAGGGCGTAAAGAGAAAGGTTATATGGTATTTCATACTTGACTTTTTATATGCATTATTTATTATATGTTGGTTCACAGATTCTTTTTTTGTATTTAGTTTGAACCAACAATTGCTGATTTCAAAAAAGAAAAAGAATCGAATTTGAGTATATTGAAAAGAGTCGTTGGACAAGGTAGTAAAAGTGATGGTGGTATATTAAACGTTAGAAAGGCAAGTTATATATTTAATGTTACTATTCTTTTTTATTGTGAAATTCAATTATCTGTTAAAAATTGTTCTATTTAATAATTAGGCTATTGCAAACACGAAAAATAATAAATGATTCTCGCAAAATCATATGATCATGTATTTGTGGATTTTCTCCAATCCAATAGAATATATTTAATCAAAATGAGTGTTTATAACAGATCAAATAAAGAATATTAATAATTAAAACTGTAAAATTAAATGCCTGATTAACTAAATATTAGTTTATTAGAAATATGATTATTCATTCATCCATTCTCGAATTGTTACAGTGTTTCGAAAAAAGTGACGGCTTTTCATCATTTGTGGCATTTGGTAAAATCTTTTTTCTCAAAGCTTAAAATTATTCTTTGGCTTAATTGGTGATATGATTGGTAATTATAATAACAAAAAAAATGTTTTTTTTAATAATTTCAAAATAAAAATTTGTATATTGTTACATATTTTTCATTAATCATGAAATTAGCTAATAAATGTAAATAAGAGTTGGAAACAAGAATTAAACAAAAATAAGAATAATGAGAAAAATATATTTAAAGTTCTATGCCAATTTTTACTGAAATTGTATAATTTGAAAATAAAATAAAATAGAAAAAAGTAAAAATAATATTTTAATCTTTGTATTAATTATAATACTTATTATAAATAATATTCTAATTTTTTGTACTAATATAAATATATTTTAGGGCTAAACAAATAACAAAAAATAATAAAGATTCTTTTACTTTATTCTTCTTACAAAAAGGAATTATAATATCTTTAAGTAAAAAATTCCAAATAATTCAAATATAACAAAAATATTATTGTATAATGAACTTTGATCAAATATTTTACTGGATCATTTATACTTAATATTATTGAATTATAAATATTTTATATTTTATTGAAAAAATATAATTATATGAGTATTCTAGTCATAATGAAAAAAAGAGTTCAAATCATGTGATAATTAATAAGAATTATAAATTTTTTGATTTGCTGATGATACAAATTAATAAAATATGTAAATTTTTGATTAGTTTAACAAAATAAAACTGATATAAGAAAATAAAAAAGTAAAAAATATGGAAAATAAATATCTAAATTTAGCTTAATAGACTAATAAAAAATATTAGGAAGATAATTTTATATATAATTTTGATTCTTGATTTATTTTTAACTCTAATCTTAAATTAATCTTTAATAATAATCTTTATTATCATAGAATTTTCTGAATATATTCAATATCACATGATTTAAACACTTTTTTTGTCATGACTAGAATACTCTGATTATATGAAATGAGCAAGTGATTTAATGAATGAATGAGTGGGTGAGTGACTAAGTAAACAAATAACAAATAAATAAATAAATAAAATAAGTAAAAATATTGAACTAATAGAATTTAAGTGAACTAATAAATAAAATTCATATATTAGCTAAATTATAATTTGAATATGTATAAAAGCAACATGTATTGTAGTTATTAGAATTAAATTAGAAACAAGTTCTTAATAATAGTAATTCTCAATTATTATCTTATAGCTAGTTATCATATACTTTTAATTATTTATATGAGCTAGATTTGCACTTTATATAGAATAGATAACCAAATGCAAATTTCTTCTATACCTCTTTGACAAAGTATATTCTTGTTTTTTATATAATCATTTCAATTTCTTTGTTATAAATATTATATAGTTTTTGAATAAAGTATTATAGTCAAATTTCTCTATAGTTATACTTATTTATACTTACATCTTTTTATAATAATTCTATTTTGCTTTTCTATTTATATATAAATATAATAAAAAATTCTTCTATAGTCACATTTTTTTTATAATTACCAAATTTTGCTTTTCTAAGAATGATAACTATAGAGAGATTTGACTATAATTATTTAAGTATATTTGTTACAAATACTATACTATTTAGTATATTCTCTGAATATATTTGTAATGAAGTCTATTAAAGTTATATTTAAATAAAGAAATTATTATTATAATTTATAAATCTGTCTTTGAATCATATTTGTAATAATACAGTTAAACTTCTTTATAGTCACACCCATTTATAGTCACATCTCTCTATAGTCATCCTATTTTGCTTTCTCATTTATATATAAATATAGTAAAAAAATCTCTCTATAATCACATCTTCTCTATAGTCACCAAATTTTACTTTTTCAAGAGTGGTAACTATAGAGAGATTTGACTGTATAAATATTATAATATATATATAATTAACTTTAAAATTTTGAGAATATCTTTCTAACTGTTCAGATTATTATATTAAAGAATACAATTGTTATCAATTTTTAAGTGATTTTGTTACTAATACTTTTAGTACTTATTTATATTCAATTTAATAGATATAAAATATTATTAATACTTTGAATTAATAAGATATATAATTCTCTTTAAATATTTTTTTAAATTTTATAAATATCTTTGAGTATTTCAAAAATTTATCAAAATAATAACAAAAGTGATGCTCTCTCTGTGAATCAAAATTTTAAAAATATTATAAAGTTTTATTATAAAGAACAATTATTAATATAAAATTTCTTTATAAATTAAAGTGTTATTATAAAAAATATTTTTATAAAAAATAATTATTAATAAAAGAATTCATTGTATATATATTTAAAATATATTGAGTAAAATATTTCAAAAATTTTTGCTTAAATATTTATAAAAAAATTCTCTGTGAATGAATAAGTTATTAAGTATATTTTCTTTAAATTTTCAAATTGAATCCAATATAATTAATCAATATTGAAATAAATTAGCTATTTAAAGAATTAAAAGATAAAGTTAATTTAAAAAAACTCTTATCAAAGAATAACTCAAAGAAATTAAACAACAAATAATTAATATTATTAATAAAAGCTATTTAAAAAACCAATTACTAAATTAATTAATTATTAAAGTAATACACTTGACAAAAAGAACAAGAAATTCAAGTTTATATATATTATTTATAATAAAAAATTACAATTTTTTTGATACAAAAAAAACTTATCAACAATAACAAAAACTTTGAGAATAACTAGCTGAACTTCAAAAATTAAATAATATCATGATTCAATTTTAGGATTCTTCTTGGTGTTTATTTTTAATTATAATTATTAATTGTATTTTTCATAAAATCAATCTATAATAAGTTATGTGATCTAGTGATATATTTGGAGTCTGTACAGACTCCAAATATACCACTTAATCTGGACTATAACTATCCCAATGACGATGGGATCATA